TTCCCTTTAACCTCTGACTATTGCCATCCGCAATGGCTTTTTCTACAATTTCGAATGACCGCATTACGTTAATTGGACTGCAATTTGAAAAAATTGTAGACCTATAAATACCCACTGTCGTCTGTCTGACTGTCTTTCCTTAATCTCGAGAAAATTGCTCGTTTTTGATACATTTCTACGGAGTAATTTCTTAATTTTAAGTAAAATGGTTGAACTTGCCTGGAGAAACGTAAGATATGCTTAGTTTATTTACTCGTTTTTGTTTGCAGATAATAAACTTTGTGAACTTTGTCGTGTTCGAACGAGATGTCGCCTGGAAAAGTCTTGCCCGTCACTTTTCTGTGGATGCCACGTTTGTTTATACTAGTTATTACAATTAATTTATAATCGTTTTATCTCGTGTTTGGGAATTAATCCAGCCAAACCCACGTTCATTATCTCGGTTCGTTCGCCTTCCTTACACAATATTAGGAAACGAATAAATAACATATTTGGGCGAGTAATGTACTCGATACCGTGTAAACAACTTGCCCGTACTGTGTTTATAATATAAAACAAACAGTGTCGATTGTTGGTACAAGTGTATTAAAAGTCTTTCGGTTTTGTATAATATACTATAAACACTCTCAGATTGTGTTACATAAGGTGAATAGCTACTACAGGATTTTATATTAATCGCACGGCAATGAAAGGGTATGCCACCGTATTGTGTCGTCGGTAGTGCTGACGAGCGTGATTTTTCATCATTCTGCGTGCAAACTGTATAGTAATTATGGAGTGTATACTATACAGAGATACGTTTGTCGCGCATTAAATAGACTATTGTTGGTATTTACTACAGTTACTGTCATCCCGTACTAAAAAGTGTGGTAATATTACTAAATGGAAAAACTATCCATAACGAAATGACCGAGGTTGGTAGATCAACCCGATAAACAGGGCAGTGTACTGTATTTTATTATGTCAATTTGACGTCATTTTATACATCGTTACAAAAATAGAGGCGACATTAAACTGTCGTAAGAGTGATCATTAATGTAAAATTCCAACTTTTAAACGGGTTAATTTATTTATTAAACTGACGAAGAATTATCTCTTAAGTAAGTGTATTGCATTTGTTACATAATACCATTTCTCGTTCCCGACAGATCCGGCCAGAAAGAAGAAACGTATTGTTTTTTCGTAGTGTTTTGCCAAACGGAATATTAATTTGATATTCGATTATAATTCGTTAGTAAAACACAACTCGCTTATGAAAAGGAAGGAAAAACTTCTAAACAAACAAATGTGTATTATTTATTTGTTACTAAATTTATTGGAGAGATGCTGATAAAGTCTTATACGATAATAGACTAGGTACTCGTTAGTGGAAATTGCTTACCTGTTTCCTATTACTGTGCTCGGTATATAATTAGAACGCAACGTTGGATAAATGTAAAACAAAGAATTGTTGAGCTTTCTCGTCGAAACTTGATAGAACACGCCTTTCTTCCTTTGTTAAAAGCTAAAATCCTTCGTACAAAATACCACCCACCAGCGACGCAGAATAATTGTTACAATTAATTGTTTCGGTGACACCTAAATTACGTGTTTAAACATGTTGACGATTGTTTTAGTAACGCGTTTAAAGTTACAAACCCAAAGGCGTGAATTTACTTTTGAGGATATTTTAATCGTATACACGCAGGGCGTCCCAAAAGTTACTTAACCGAGTTGCGTAGCTTTTCATATATTTTGGTTAACTGTCTTTCGAACCGCCTCTTTTTATTTATTTTTTGTTTCTTCCATCGTTTTTTATCGGCAGAAATGGGGTGGTTTAGGAAACAATTAGATGGGTGTTATATCTTCGATGGCCACGCGTTTTGTTATTATAGTAGAGCGTAGTATTGGCTATCCGAGGTGGGTTAGATGGGGGCGATTCGACTTAACACCCACATCAATTACGATATCAATTGTCCCTGGGTTGGCCGTCAAAGTAGAAAGACGAAGGTAATTATTTAGATATTTCCATCCATCTAATCTGAGTGTTTCATCAAATTTCGTATCGAAAATACCATCTCGTGACGCCATCGGCGATTACTGTTAAATAATAATTAAATCGTTTCCGAAATAATGAGATAATTCGACGATAAAACATTATCATTTCCTCCCTCGTCGTCAATTAACGTTCGTTCGATTTTAAATATTCCCAGTGATTAAAGATGAAATTTCGTATGACCCTCCTAAAACTAAACGCCTCTTCTCCTTTCTACAATAGAATTCTGGTGTAGAGGTGAGAAGAGTTCTACGCTATTGTAGTATGGCAGGTGTTATCCCCTCCCTGCTCTAGAATACTGTATTTACATTGTTTTAGTGCAAAAGTGGATAGTAGTCTGTCTACATTATATAATTTCGATAACATTTCTGTAAAATAATTTACTTATTATTGATTGTATCGATAATAGAAAAGTATTGTTTTAAATTGTTCAATTTATAGCTGCCATTTGGTCACTTACTTGCCTGATTGCTTTCATACAGAGAGGAAGTGTCTACACGTTTGTGACATCTATTCTTTGTCTTGTTCAGATGTTGTTGTTCAAGTTTTACACTTATCACCACCCATCAGTTATAATGATAACAACAATAGTTACTTTTCAAATAGAATTTCTGTCTGTCTGTTGTCTAAACACTTCTGAACTGTTTCTGCACTAAATTTTTCATACTTACTGCTCAGTATCCTGCAGAAAATATAGCCTACCATATCTGGACACTCCATCTAATTCCTTTCGATATCATCCCCGAAACCTATTGTTAACAATGATAGGCTAAATAACCGAGTACAGGCACATCGGCTAATTTATAAAAGTAAATATTATAAACTTTATATAATATATTGATAATTTAAAATATGAACGTAATGTGATGGCTGTTATTTAATGAGGTCTTAGAGTTATTATATGCTATCCAAAAGGAAGACTCCCCCAATTTAAACACCCCCGTAATGTCCTCGTTTTCAGAATAACTTTGTCCTCTTTTCATAATTTTGTGTCTTTGTAGACACTAAGAGGGTGTTTAGGAGGAATAATATAACTCACTATAAGCTAATAAATGAGAATAGACACAAAGGGATTCGGTTTGTCATTTACATTTCCTCTATTTTTTAACACAACACTGCATAAAATTTATAATCATTTAACAAATAATGGGTTCTTGTCAAATAGTGTTTTTGTCAACTGGCTTCGATTGTTTTTCCAACCGGTAGCATTTAGATTGTTGGAATCTTCGTGTAATATGGCGGATCTCAAGACGATACAGTAGTGTAATTCGCTTTGCTTCCGTTCTATTCTTTCGTATTCCCGAAAATTATACTCGATACTAATTACTGATTTTATAACACAACTAACTGATGAAAGTCCTTGATTACAACAAAATATTTTGAATGCTACGTGAGTGATAAAGGCAGAAAGGAGTTAATAGAGATAAACGATGCTACAGGCGCCCGCCGTATTTTCTCTCACCTGGTGTAAACTTGTACGATTTAGCTTAACCAATCAATTAAAATCATATTCTTTAAACAGGTTTTATCTATTATGTTACCTTCGTCTACCTTCTTAATACCCAGGTTTAAAAAAACGAGCGAAACTCCAATTATCCAACCACGTGCACTAAATAACGTAACTTCCTCATATGTCCTAAGTAAGAACAATGGGGATTATATTTTCCACGTGCGAAAATACTTCAATATAACGATTTTTAAAATAAAACGAATCCCAAAATGTCGTTGTATTATAAAACTGGTGTTTGAGGAAAGAAGGAATAAAGAAAATCTCAGAAGGGGTAAGTGTGGCCGCGCGAGATTACTATTAATTTCTGTCTAATTAAAGCACATTTTAATGCACGAAGTTTACTTTATTACAAGTATACCTGCCGCCTCCTTTCGCCAACAGTTGACGTCGAAAGTATCCTATTTCGGGGGATTTTTTTGCTTCCCGTTTGTCGAGAGTATCCGATTTAATAACCGAATTTCCAAACTGTCGTTCCCCTGTTAATAACGTTTTGATGGATTAATGAAGGCCGATCCGCGATATAATTATAAAGTTAATAGATCAAAAATAATTTGTTTTTTATATTTTAATATACCAAATTCACTGTTTAAAATTCAATAAGAAAATAATTATCGCTCTTAATTTATTCGAAGAGACTTAATTTGATTTTTAACACTATTTACTAGTATTTTAATTAACTAATAAGGCTCATTAATGATAATTATTTTTAGAATAGAATATAATGATGCTATCCTAGAATAACGACTAATTTTCTATCTTCGAGTTCCCCGTTTATTTTTCCACATTCTGGGTGTACTAAAATTAGTGCCACCCCTCTGTGAACCCTATAATAGTGTTTACTATAAATTCTTTCCCAATTAATATTTTATATTTAATTGTGGTAAATTTTCGATTTAGCACCATTCGTTCGACGCGAAAATTGGTACTAAATCGAGCGTGGCATTAAATCCAAGAACCTCAAACAATAAGAATTACAAGTAATAATGAGGTCTGTCTAAATAATGAATGCAAAATCGTATATTTAATTACGGATTTTGCTCGCATGCTTTCACGCGGGTGGCGGTATATCGATGACTTTTAAGAAGGCCATACGTCGAGGTTCGACCTTATATTGTTACATATTGTTACATATATTAGTTTTTTTAATTAAGGATATAATTATTTATATATCGATGGAAACTTATTGCTAAAATATTCATCTAGTATATCCGAATTTAGACTCTAAGCTGTAATACATAAAATGGCCGAGCTATGCCCTCGTGCGAAAAGTAGAGCCTATGCGTATTTTCTGCGCTGGGTATGCGAATAAGATTTAGAGACGAATAATTTGGCGAAGATTTGAGAAGAGGTTTCTAATCTTGTTACTACTTTTATATTTGTCGATACTTTCGAAGAAAAACTAAATATTTAGCTAAACTTACGTTGAGTTTTCGTCTTATTCGAATTATTTTACAGGTATACAGATATCACGCGCGAGATGTTTGGAAAAAGAAGCCGGTTTAGTGGAAGATATATACTGCAGCGATCTGGAAAAACCCGTCGATATCAGCAGGATATGCAACAGGCACCAATGCCCCGCCAGGTTAGTGAATCAATACGTTATATAAAATCAATGGGAACATTCTTTGGTCCTGTGTTTACCACCGAAATTAATTAATTTGGCGTTAGATGGTGGGCGGGACCGTGGCAGCATTGTTCCGTCAGTTGCGGAAGTAACGGAATTCGCAAAAGAACGGTCATATGCGTTCGTTCTCTAGGACCCGACGAGCAAATCGCTCTTCTGGACGAAGACTGCGATGCCGAAGATCGCCCTTCCGATTCCGAACCCTGTCGTCACAAGCATCCCTGTCTCATGCACGCTCACTGGGAAACCGGCCAATGGACCGACGTCAGTATCCAAATATCCTCTAACACCAGTAATTACGCTTCTTTGTTTCTTTAATGTAGAGCGGAAATGTATTGTGGTTTCAGGTTTGCGACGGGGATCCTTGTAATTACCAAAGCAGACACGTCTATTGTAACATCCCCAATGGTTTCTGTAACGAAAAGGAGAAGCCGATTTCCAGAAGGAAATGTGGAAATATTACTTGCGGTGTATGGGTCATTGGGAATTGGTCCGAGGTACGTATGTCCGCACTTATATTTTTTAAGTAAATTCGACCCGACGAAACTGTGAAAGATTAGTTTTTTTCTTTCTTTCTTAACTCGTCTTCTCTTTTACGTGTTATTTTTAGTTGTTCGGTTAATTTAGACGCATATACCCCCTTACAAAAGTAATTTGCAAGGTGGTCCCCCTTACAAAACGAGTTACAATAACGCGACGACACCGCATTGTTCGAGATGTTCTATTCACTATTATGTAAACCTAATGTAAATTTCTGAAAATTTTAGACGATCGGGCTAGCTAAAACAATGTTTGGCACATTAATGAATTCAACAAAGTTTTAAAGGGCGGACAATACTGGGAATGTCGACGATTTCCACTGGCTAAATTTGAAAATAATTGTAGAAATTCTGAAGACCACCGATCTTCTGTCATTTATATAAATGACAGAATTCGGTGTTCGATGTTAGAAAGAAAGACGAAAGTTATTAAAACGAAAATAGCCTTGACGAAAAGCAATGGTAATTCAATATAATAAGTAAATCGAATTACGCAGTGAAAACTTGTGGATAAGTTGGCAGTAATGAGGTTTTGGTTAATTCGTCGTAAAAATGCGTAATAAACCCTAACAATCAGTGGATAAATTTGTAATCGAAACGGTATTAAACTGTAGGGAACTATAGGGAAAACCCAATTGGATTGTCGAACATTTCAGATTATTCGTTATTGTGGGATTTTTACTTCCCTAAGCCACAACGTATAAAGGGTTCGCCGACACCGCAACACACCAGAATTCTACTAGGCTCTTAATATATACATATATATTTTAAATTAACAATTTTTTTGAACGTCTGCAATGATAATCTAACGGACCTAACCTTGTTTATGAGACTATACTTTGAGATTAATTTATAATTTCTGGAGATATTGATAAACAACCAACCGGTTAAATTGATACTATCGACGTATCAGATAACCTCTGGTGTTTATTAGTAATTTGTTAAATTAGATTTCGCAAAGAGAAGCGAAAACGGAATCCCGAGATGACGTTGGTGTTTATAAGACGAGAATAATTAGTTAATTATCCATTGTTTGGCCAATGAATTAAAGAAAATCCATAAATAATGTATTTTATAGTAAAATACCTGGCATCTGGTTCGTTTCATCCATAGTAAATATGCAAGAATCGAAAATGAATCGAGTAAATATTTATGAATCAAATTTTGATCGAGTTACGCACTAAGGTAATGCACTTAGCAAGGTGTTTCTTAAATCCTTGTTGCAATCCAGCTTTATGTAAATTCAATCTTCCGATTGCTTTGGAGATAGAAGCGGCGAAAGAACTTGGTTTGTTGCTGCTTCGTTATACAGTTTGACGAATTATTTTCTTTATTCTTTCAATAATTACGAGCCGAGTTCAAATTATAAGCCGGCATTTCGACAAATACTATAAAAATGGTGGAGTTAAATTTCAGTTCGATGGTATTTAACGGTTTAGATCCGTAGATACCAAATGAAACATCAGACGAATCGTTTCTCGAGTCAGAAAATTAGATCCGTAGATAATTTGAGTACATTTGTGCCAGGCTCGTTGGGTAGAAAACCCGAAAAATGCCACGAAACTTCCCAGGGGGAGACAACGGTAATTGCGACTGGTAACTCTGTCGATGCCAGGACCGTAGTGAATTTCTCGGAAAATCTTCCACCGAGCTGTGGTCGTACTGTACTGTACCTTAGAAGTGTCAGTTGATAGGTTTTTATCTAAATCGGTCGAGTACGCTGCCTTCGTCCGCTGCTGGAGAGGCGCCGTCATTTTATGAGTCCGCCGAATTACGTTTTCGCTCGTTAACAGTGTTGCCAATCGCAGTTACCGTTGCCTCCGACTCGGAAGTTTCGCGTGTCAAAATTACTACGCTCGTTCTCCCTACTTTTAATGGCACTTTTCTGGTTTTCTACGCGCTCCCTTTTGTCTGGGTTGCCCTTTTCATAATCTCCAAGGGGTCCCCCAAATCCGTTATCGACAAACGACAGAAAATTCGTGACTTCCAGCCTATTTCGAAAATATAAAGGAAACTAACGAACGATATTTGTCCATTGTTCCGTGCGACTTGGACCTATGTCGACCAAAACTTGGTCTGGAATACAAGGAACATGTTATCTCCGGTTTCAACCGGTGCCATCTCGTGGGAGCGGCGATCCCACGTTGAATCACAGTTTGAAGCTTCTTGCGTAATGTAGGATGCCCCTTTTTTATAGTCTGCGGGCGCCGCCGAATTTAAGTAATAAAAAAAATAGGCTATTTCTGACCGTTTAACACTTCTTACTGCTAGTAGAGCTTTAAATGTTAGAAGAAGAAAGAAAATAAGTTTTACGTTTATTTATACATTTTTGCGGGTGTAGTTTTTACTTGTATTGTTATTCTTATTTTGTTTTATCCATAATTATTTGTAAATGTTTCGGGGCGATATTCATCGGATCTACCTGCCTAGCCATTGCAATTTAATTTAAATAAATAAAATAAAATAAACTTTGCACACAAAGAGTTAATTAGTAAAGCTCGATCAAGTAAAAAAAAAATCGGTTGTCTGTATCCCGACCGTGCGTGGGTCCTCGAAACTGTGGTAAGACGAGTGCTCCCACCCTTATAAGACCCCGAGACGTGAGTTACGGGTGCAATTCGGAGTGCGAGCAAATAAAAAACGAAGAAAAAATTTATTTTTTATCACCTTTCGGGTGGAACGTATATACAAAAGGCCAACTACTGTTACTAGACTGACGAAATGGCAATAATTTTCGGACGTATCTCCGTATAAATCTAGGATCGTGACGGAGAGCGGTATCTACGTCACGAAGGTGGTAGGCCCACGTTTTTCGACCTTTACAAAAAATGGAGGAAAGATACTTAGAAAAATATTAAACGGTAAATTAGGGCCTTATCTTGACGGATTACCAACAGTTTTCCGTCAGTAACGTCGGAGGCGGGTGGTGACACAGTTAGATAAGAGCCTCCCACCTAAACGAATTGGATGGCCAGATTTTATTTAGAGGTTACCCAGATCCGGAATATTTCTTTAGGGTTCGTTCGTCTTTGTATCCGCCATCGTAATTAAGAGCACAAAGAATTAATTTATTTTTCGTTACGTATGGACGTTAGTGTGTGTTGGAAGCACTAAATGTTGGTGGTTAAAGGCCCAGGGGTGGGAAGATAGAAAGGGTCACGTGTCGTATCTCGAGTGGGATGGGACTTAAAGACGAATTTACTCGTTATTAGCATTTATAATTTTTTGTAAAACACGTCTCTATCCTCAAAATTAAGTTTCTTTTGGCCATTTTATAATAATTAATAATATAAACAGTTTTTAAAATAAAATATGGTAACGGATTGCGCCACACTCAATTTTAACACTTGCCGGGAAAGTTACGCAACTCTTTATTGGCTTTTGAGTTTTTTTGAGTGGTTAAGAATTAAAAAAAAGTCGATAAGGCTATAACAAAGACAGCTGTTATAGCCCATTCGAATTCTTTATTTCCTATAGAGCAGTGGTAATGCGTAAACACCTTACATACAATATAATAACTTATAGAAGAGACGACGTTATAACGTATTTTTAGCTCATTAATCCAATAATATTAATTGGATCTATTCTATAATAACATATTGGCGATTGAAAGCGTCATTAAAAGTTATTTGTATAGAATCGAAACCGGTTAATTAATTACATTAGGATGCGATCTCTTAATAATTGCCTGCATAAATGTGATTTTCATTCGGTCGGCGATTTGCAAATGAATCGAGTAAACATTTATTTTATTTTTCTTTAACATGAAATTTTCTAAATGAAAGTTCCGCAGAATAGAAGAAACACCGAAAAAAAGATTAAGTGACTTCCGAATCTCTCCTTTATTTTGACGCTCTTCTCAGCCTAGGTGTGTGAAACTTGTTGAAATCGCCCCTCAAATATGTCATTAATTAAAGGAAATGTAAGACTCGGAGTGGATCATTTTTATATTTTGGAAAACTTGGATGTTTCGACAATACAGTGTATAAAGGGAATCCCTTCGGGTTCGTCGATACCTCTTGGTAATTGAATTGTCAATATGTATCCAGGAATTATCATTTATCTCTCATTTATTCGCAAACAATTTACATCAAATAAAAATCTATACTAAACTAACATTTGGTTAACGTTTAACGAATGTTAAGGGAAGTATACAAACATCATACAAAGTTTACTTAAAGAGGAAAGGCGTCCAGTAAGACGGTAGTTAGAAATTTTGCACCGAAAAAAGTCCGTGCCAAAAACTACTCGTCATAAAATATTTTTACACGATTTTACAATCCATTTTACCAATATTTTAATAGAAAATAATTGTAAGCGACATTATTTTTAAAGTTCGAATGACCCACCAAATTTAGATACTTTGAGAGTCAGTAATTCTTAATAGAAATTTTCAGTATAAAATGTGTTCTCCCGTATTTATACCTTAAAATCCCATTAAGTAAATACTGAAGGGGTGCCGTGCCACGATGTGTTCGGAAACAATCAAGAATTGTTATTGGAAACTAAAATGATAGCATATTCGATTGAGGACGCACATCCACGTCGCGATTTGAGCCGTATCGTTAGTGGCTGGCTCCGGTGCCTACACTCAAATTTTAGGTATGCATCGGTATTACCATTTAATAAAGTACACGCCAAGTAATTTTCATCGCCTTCTTCTTAGAAGTATAGAAATTATAGGAATTTCTCGATGCCTAGTTACTTTTCATCCATTCTGTATTTGACTCTTCACCATGAATTGACGTGAAAAATAATTTTTCTCATAATTTTTTCGGCCTGTCGCTTTCGTTATCGCGTATTAAATGATTAGAAGTTCGAGATTGCTCTTAACCATAGAGACGTGACGAGTTGGTAGTCGAACATTATGATTCTCGGTTCGAGATTTTTATTATAAAAAGAAAAAAACAGATTAAATTTCTATTCAGAATACAAATTTTCGTTATTAATTTTTCCTTTAGTGTTCCAAGACCTGCGGAACCGGTTACAGAAGGCGAAACATCACGTGTCAAGGAGGAGAAGCCTGTCAACAGGCGATTAAGCCCGTTAAGGAGACGACGTGCAACGAGCAGCCCTGTTTGCCCTTCGACGATATTCAGATTTTCGGAGTGGTACACAAATCGAACGATCATAAAAATAATAAAGGTGGGTCCGACCACAAGCATCGACATCATCACGGGGAGGACAAACACGAAGAGAACGAAAACGAAGAGCGGAGGTCGGACAAGGTGGCCAAAGACGTCATCGTCGTCCCTCTCTACGAAGTACCGGATAATCGAGTGGAAGACGTCAAAGTGGACAACGAAATCGACGAAGGTATTCATCAGATTAGAAGAGAACCCCCGACCGTACCCGAAGGAGGTCGTTCAAATCCTAAACAGGACAGCCAAAAATACGAGTGGCAAGTGACCATGTGGGAAAAGGTAATAAAGTATTTTACTTATCTTTGTCGCGTTACGTTAACAATTAATATAGTATATATATATATCAGTATTACACTTATATAAATATATACAGTAACATTCTCGTCTTATCACGTAATTCACTGTTAGAAATCCGTCGTAAAGCGAGCCTGGCACTAAAGACCCAACATTATAAAGTGAGATTACGTTCTTAGATACGTTGTATATATCCAAGAACGTTTTTACATATATACTACACCGAAATGACTGACAAAATATGCAACATTTTAATGCAATCGCCAGAAAAATTTATACCAATTGTAAAGCGATGAATCTGCCATTTTTATAATTAATATCCCTATTTAAAAATAGAAAATGGGGTTTAAAAATGAAAAATATATATAATTGTCCTTAAGCACACGCACACGTACTATTATCGGATTTCTAATTATTTTACTTAATGTAATAAACGAAAAAATATAAACCTAATTGTGTGTGGGACGATAAGAAAGTTGCGGATTCTTGAAACGACCGAGTCATTAAATAATAAATCTCGTGTAAAATGCATCGAGTGCCCTTAGTAGATATTCTAGACATATAAATACTTTATTAACGAATTCGATGGCTTCTCGGACCGACAGAAATAATATAGAATTGTATATTCATTGTTTATCTGCCAGGGTCTCCGGAGAAACGTGTGTCTATGTAAAGAATTCCACTGTTTGTGTTGAACGAGTTATATCAATCCGTCTAAAAGCTTACTACACAGATTACACAAAGTCAGTTTTTAGAAGGATACAAGAAAGTCATTTGAATTAAACTTTACGTGTTTAATATATTTATTGTTTCTTATCTCGAAAGTTATCTGTCTATAGGTTTTTACTCGGTATTCTGAAAACTTTCTAAATAAACGTGTAGATAAACGATTTACGTGTAAATAAACAATAACTTAAGGAAGGTCATTTCCCTCTATGAGGTTATGGCTTTTAAACTTACTATTATTAAACCTCGGATATATACGTTACAAAACCGTTTCTTTTATTCATAGGTAAGAAAGTTAAGTATCGGAGTTTGGGTTTTCTAAATAGCGGCAGATTTATTTGGGTTCATTCGGGCCCAACGAATGACTAAGCTGTTATCTAGACTCAAGGTGACAGGTTAGTATTTCTTGGGAAATGAATCGGCCCAAATGAGCCGTAATGGGCTTCTCTACTTTGCATCGAATAAGTTATACTTCTTATCGTTTTTCTGTCGATTTAGCTACCGATAGAAGCTTAAAATTAAATAATAACTTTAAAAAATCCCAACAACGAGTTGCGTAACTTTCCCGGCCAAACTTTAAAATTGTCTGTGGCGCTATCCGTTAAAAACTCGTTATGTTATTAATTATTGTAACGTGGCAAAAAAGCTTAACTTTGGGATAGAAATGGGTTTCATAAAAAAATTATAAATACTACATGTTGTATAAAGGTTAAACAAATGAACTTACATCCGATTTTTCCAACACCTGTCGCGATTTAATTCTGGGAATTTTTTCATCATTATAGAACTTATAAGGAAACTTGGCACTTATTAACTTTTCAGTGTAGTAAACCGTGTGACGGAGGAGTTCGAAACAGAAGAGCTCTGTGTTTCGACGCCGTGACCAAACACATGGTGGTGTCGGAATTATGCGATCCTTTCGAAATGCCTTCCACCGAAGAATCTTGTAACTTGGAACCCTGTCTGGACTGGATTCTCACAGAGTGGAGCGAGGTCTGTATACTTTTTAATTCAGTTCCTTATAATATTAGTTTCTGGTTATCTATACACTTAACACGAAAGAGTACTATTAGAAGCATACGTCGTAATATATCGTTTTCAATATATTATTAAAGACGTAGAAACGGAAATATTAATACTAATTACGTTTTCAGGGTCAAAATATCTATTTTAATCACCCATGAGCAATATCAGTAATTAATCTCCCCATACAAAGAATATAATCAGCAACTCTACCCATAGAAAGATTATAATCAGCACTCTGTATTTATTATACAGATTACTTATAATAGATTTGATCACTTATTAAGTAGCCTGCTGTATTGTACGGTACAGTACATCTCGTACGAGAGAGGATTTCTCCCGAACAGCTTAGGAATTTAGTAGTATAAACGACTTATTAGTCTCTGTTATGGTCCTAATTTAAATTACTTAATAGTTTTAATTTTATTTATTTAAATCGGTCGGGGAAGAGAATAACTTGGAGTTATCCAGGTTCCACACGGGTAAAATTAAACAAAAATCACTTGTTAATTTTGTCAAAATTCCTTATATTTAACATATATAATGTAATATGTTGGGTAGATGAATTTACTGGTAATTATAAAGTACTTCATAAGAATATTGTTTATATAAATTACTTTACTAGTTTATTAATTAAAAAATTAATTACTTTCTTTGAAAAAAACTGATAAAATAATAAAGTAATTGGTATAAACAATATTCCTACGAAGTAATTTATAATTACCAGTAAATTCATTTGTTCTAATGAAGATCATTAAATAATCAGGATAGCTGTTAAGAAAGGGGCCCGGATGGAGGAGAATCGACGGACCCGAGGGAATTTTAGTGCCTGGTTTATAAAATGTAAAGTTTTATGTTGAAAAATAATAGGAAAGTTAGATTAGTCTCTGGCAATAAATGAAGACAAAAGTCTGTTTATGGAGAGGGTGTAAGCCCTGTATTTGCCAATAATTCGGGCTCCCGATTGTTCTACCTCTTGTGTTTTTTCACCTGTTGGTTCCGAACGGAATAAAAATGTAAGGTAATGAGTTAATATTAGTCCAAAGTTGGAGGGACGTAATGGGCCCCCTACCTTATAAAATACAATTATTGGAGTGTGACGTTTTACGTAAGGTGTATTTAAATGCCCGTTGCGTTTAAGAATTAAGCCCGAACATTAATATTGAAGACTTTAATTAAATATTTCGCCCATCTCCTTTCAAATATTACGTAATTTCGACTAAATTCTGTTTTTATGCTTATTTATTAATCGAACAATGACTGGAGTAACCGAATAGAATCAATTATATTTACGTTCATTTTAATTAAATTAAATCTAGAAATTCCTTTAAGATTTAACATTAAAAATGACTGTAAATTTATAATTTTAAATTCGAATTGTCGGGTATTCGCCTTTTCTTTCCAAACCAAATTCGAATACACTTCTCTTCAATTGTCTTCGACATTCGCTATAAATAGTTGTCGATTAGTGTTAATCACTTACTGCTTATATGTAAGTTCTTGCGTAACCAGTAAATGTTCTGTGTCTTTCGTTAAGTGATTAATTATAAGAAATTGGTGTTCTTACTTCAGATAAGGCAATAAATACAAAGAGTACCGTCCGAAGAATTGTGTGACGTCTTTGTTGTTTTAAATGTGATTCTGGACCCCTCTCGTGTCTTGGCCTGCCAAATAATGCGGCTTATTCGTCTCGGTATTGTGTTAATGTTAATATTCTACATTTGTAAACACCTAAATTTTCAAATAAACTATTAATTTCGTGTACTAGAATAGAACGTGTTTTAAAGTGTAGTGTTCGAGTACGGTGGGAGCAATTGATAATCGAATAACGTCATTCGAAACGAAATTAATTAATGAAATTGTGGTGTTTTATTATTTAACAGTTGTGTCGATATGTCGAATAATAATTTCGACTCTATTAAAAATGTAACTGGAATTTCGTAATTCGCTTTCAGATAATCAGAATATGGGGAAATCGAACCCGGTCCTCTATACTTTCCTACGTATTTAACTGCCAGCGGAACCCGGTGTGTACCGCGACTGAAACTATTGTTAAACTTATATTTCAGTGTTCGTCGTCCTGCGATCGTGGGTTACAGTACAGAAAAGTCTACTGCCCCGAAGAAGACAAATGCGATCCGGAAGCCAAGCCATCGGAGACTAGGGTGTGCTTAATAAAATCCTGTCTGCAATGGATAGCCGGACCCTGGAGTCAGGTAAATTTTACACCTTAGTCACACACCCACCCTCCTAGCGCGGGCGTTACGCGGATTAATGACGAGAAGAGTAATTTGAACTTTACCCTCTCCCCGCGCGCTTAGTGTTCCGCCTCTTGCGGAGAAGGTTTCAGGAGACGTCACGTGAAATGCGTGGATCTGAGCACGCAGGCTTCGTCGTCGAGATGTTCGGCGGACGACAAACCCTCTCACCTGCAACAGTGCGTCAACCAGGAATGCGCCGAACACAATTCAGGTTAGCGGAAGATTTGTGAGAGTTTCCAGGGTGACCCCTTCCTTTTTTTCTAACCCGTTTCGACCGTTTAGCTTTCAGTCAGTGCCGAGACAAGTTGGAAGTGGCTCTGTGCCAGTCCCTGCGTCACATGTGCGACACGTGGTACTTCAAAGCGAAATGTTGCCACACCTGCAACAAACGGATCAACTCCAGGAGGAGGACATACGGGAGCAGAAAAGTTGGAAGTTCGTGAACTCCGTCGTCTGTGATTTTATTTTTATTTGCACTTTTTTGTAATATTAAAGAGTCGTCTTTTAAAAATTAACGCCCAGTCTCGCGTCACTTAACACGGTTCCTTTTCTATTGTTTAACTGATGTTTGCGCCGTTTTATAAGTCTAAACACGGATAATCGACTTTACGAAGAGGAAATAATTTTCTGGATGGAAGACGGCGGTTTTTGTGTTAAGTTAGCTACTTAGGTCTACCGTTTACTTTTCTTTTACGTTTCAAGTAGAAACTGTTTACCATCCTGGCGTCCTTTTGTAGCGCGACACCTCTTCTTTTCGACAACCTCGTTTCTACGACAACAGAAGAACCTTTAGGATTCGAATACCTCTAAAGCTATAAAATATTCTAGTTCCGTTGTAAGAATATACACCGGGGATGATCGGGTATTAAGTGTTGTACCGTCGCTAAATGACAGATCAGTATTTTAAGTCGGCGTTCTGTAAGCGCGTGTCGTGTCACGGAATCGAAGAACGTCACTCCGAAATTACAGATCTTAACGCCAAGGGGCAAGTCGTACCCACCTTACGTGTAATTCTATCGGTATAAACTGAGAAATCGGTAAACACCCCCAAATTTCCAAGACTGCGCCGCCGACAGGGCGCAGAAAGTAACGAAACAACAGACGCGAGGGTTGCGGGGGAATGGAATACGCCCCCGGGTGGAAGAAGCGACGCGCCGTCCGCCGTCTGCCGAGAAAGATGCAAAAATTCGCGGAATTCGGGGCCTCAACAAACAGGTGTTTCCCACGTCCTCGTCTCTAGTGGCTTCGGACCGAGATTAAACAAACGGCTGACCGCAAATTACCGTTTTCGCCGTATACCGATAACGGTGGAAACAAAAAAACACTTCAACCGACACCTACGGACCACACCTCCTCTCGGTAGCATACCTGACGTGGTTTCTCTTTCCGCTGTTTGCTCAGGTGGAAAAGTCTCTCGGGCCAGCGCGCGAGCGCGTCGCCCATCGTCTTGGAAAGCCTCCCCTCCGCTCCCACGTCGTCTCCGGCCACGTGTCCATCCCCCGCGTCGTGACCGACCAAATCATTAGCGTCGGTGTTTTTTTTTTTGCTCGGACCAATTTTATTTTAACACACAAAAAACGTAACGGACTGCATAAATAAAAGAGCCGCCGCCGAGTCGCGGACCCTCCTCGGACGGCCGTAAAAATACAATAGAGAAGAAAATATGAACAAAAGGACGCTTCGACTGCGCGCCGGCGGCGACGTTTTCGCGCCGCCGCGCGCCTGGATGCGGGCGCGGGCGTCATAAACCTTCTTCGGGACGTCTGATGATCTCGAACCGTAACTCGCACGCGCATCCGCTCCTGATCAGGATGTAGTCCAGGCGCCAGTCCTCGTCGGTGCCGTGTTTTCTCACCAGGGCGTAACTCAGGCCGTATTTCTGAACGCACTTGGAGTAGGGTCGCAGCTTGTCGCCCACGTAGTCGCAGCGCTTGTCCAACACGTCGCGACGGCAGACCGTCTCGTAGAACTTCTGCGTCGAGTTACGGTCCCGATACAGGTCCATGAGTATCCCCGTAACGGACCTCCCTCCTCGTGGTTCGCTGATCTCCAACACGGAAGGACAACACTCCCTGACCACTTCGCTCGGTCGAAAGACGTAACTCCTCTTCTTCCACGACGCTTCTCGCAGCCAGTTTCTACCGAAAGGAAATGCGTTACGTTAGTTTTCCGTTTCTACGTAACGTCGCCCGAGAGCGTAACCCGCGTAGGTGGTGATTACGGCTCGAGAGATTGGTAACGAAAAAAAAATATTTTTAACCGCGTCGACCGACGCGTGGCCACGTCGGAAGCGAAACCGAGAGACCGACACCCGAGCGTAACGCTTCGTTACGTTGGTAGTTACGGCGACGGAAGTCGAAAGAAAGAGTCCGTCCGATGGCGGTCGTTTTCGTTGCTAGGAAACCAAGAAGGAAAATTCGCAGAATTTCGTTCGAATTTAATATTTCGGGCATTTCTTTAAAGTTTCCGCGCTCGAAGCTCGGTCTAACTTTTATCATTTTATACATTCGAGTCGATTTTGCATTAATATCCGATGGGGAAAAGGAGAAATTTCCCCAGCGCCAATCTTCCGTCGCGCGTCGCGTGGCTTTCTGCATTTCCTACTTTTATCTTCCACGGGATAGTCGTAAAAATAGTCGCGAGGACCAATAAGACCAGGGGTTAACGGCCGTTACGTAATCTCCGGAAACGAATTTTTAATCGTTTCCGGACATCTCGAACTAAAAGACGTGACGTCGCGTAGCCGTCCCCGACCGGCGCCGTCGGGGGTCGAAGGTCGAACCAGGTCTCACCTGTTCCTCCTGCCGAGCTTCCATCCGTTGGGAACGTTGGGTCTGGACTGGGCGCACAGGGACGCGGACAGCAGCTGCAACAAAAACAAACGGTCAACCTGCGAGAGCCGTCAAGCGCGCCTCTACGCCGCGCGCCGCGTCAAAGTGGCTTTTAACTATCTTCGTTTACCCGCGGCCACTTCCGGAACTGATGACGCGTAACCCGGTCTTTTCCGGCAAGACTCGTCCTTCCGGAAAAATCTCCACCCAACGATTTCCGTCCCTATCGCGCCACCTAAAAAGCCCCAATCGAGAATTAGCCACGGTGGTTGGAGTCCTTTATCCGAGGTTTAGAAGCAGGGAACTTCGGAGAAAGCGCTAAATCGAGGGTCGTCGGTTGTACGGGACAGAAACGCTTCCAGTTATAACGATTGTTTAAACGAAACCCGGACGTAGAGCGATTAAGAGGCGAAAAAACCTGCCCGGGGATAGATAAACCAGGATATTTAAGGGGAGGACATCTCTTTGTTACCGTTCTTTGCCCAAGAATTGGACAAAGAACAAAAGTTTAGGAGGGACGAAGTGTCTCGTTCGTGAAAAAGAACAATTTAACGTAAAGAGTAGAGGAAAGGAACGTACCAGTAACACTAACTGCAAGTTCATGTCGAAGGTGGAGAGAATTGACCAGATCTTCGCTCTCTCCGCATTTATATCCCGCGCGTTGCAAAAGGAGACGGCAATTCCGTGACGTCTTATCTTTCTCTTTCCGCTGGGGGTTTCCGACGCCGCTTCCGTAGCGGCAGCGATATTTCTTCCGATCTCTTCCGGTTCCGGAAGAGTAACGAATCGGAATAGGCCAAGGGCGCGCGTCGACGCCTTCGTTTCGCCCTTCTCCGGGAACATTTCGAGAAGAAAGAAGGGACCGGCCGAAATTTTCCCAAGAGGGTCGAATGGGTTCGATTTCCTTTATCGCTTCCAAATAGTTCCAAACTTTCGAAACGATCGACGCGACGCGTTTCCGATCTTCGTCGGGAACTCGGAATCGCGGACACGCGCTTTTTTTTTGGGAATTGTTCGAAGGATCGCGCTTTACCGGCAGTGTCCGGCGGACGAGACCCCTCGAAAGTCGCTTTCGTATCGTTATCGGCGGCGCGCAAACACGTCGCCGATAACGAAACGATAGCGATTCTCGCTCCGCCAGGCTTATCGGCGGTGGCAGTACGTTCGACACTAATTAAATAATTAACATTAACGACGATTTCCTCCTTTCGGGAAACTTTAACCTTTCGTCATCCCGAGTTACTCGTCTCCCTGGTAATCCCTCGGCGTGTTTACTGGCGACGAAGAAAGCCTGGAAGAGTCCTGCCCCAATAACTTTCCTTATCGACACCCTTATCTCCGGGAAATTTCAGACCCGGAAAAACTTACTTTTCCAGGAAACCGGGAATTTTCGCGCTTCTCGATGTTTTTCGCTTGCCGATTGCAAGAAATGAATCGTCGGTTCTTTCTTCCCGGTATTTGACGGAAAGGGGTGGAGGTTTCTTCCGTTCGCTTTGTTACCGCAGAAGGGTCGGTGTTCCTGCGAAAATTGTAGAAACCGTCGCCATCTCTTTTTGGTCTCGTCAGTCACCAGACGATTCGAGATACGTCGAAGGTACGCCCGCTTTTCGGCAGATTTTCTCGAAGAAGGCAAATGTCCGGTCCCCTTTGTAAGACGCGTCGGATAACCCCGGTTTTCGGAGCCACCTTTCGACTTTCTCTGGCTTTTCCGGCCACTTCCCACGTCCGGTCCTCCGTTGGCTTTTCTGCCTAGGTAAACCGTTTCACCCGGGATCCGGGTTCGAATCCGGGTGGGGATTCCGGAATTACGCCGTTTCCCCGCGCTCGAACCCCCTTTTATCCGAATGAAATCTTTTACGCGTTAACGTTTCGTTTCCTTTCGCTCCGTGCGCGTCGCGCTCTTCCTGGCGCCGACTTTAATTGGCCCGCGCGTGGCGGTGGTCGTCTTTAAGTCGCGACGGAGAGGAGCGAAGTTTCCACCCGTCTCGTCCCGGGCCGGAGGGAGGCGGTCGGCCCGATCCCGCGGCGCGGAGCGCGGAGGAGGCGACTCGGCGACCGCCTCGACGCGTCCGGAGGAATTAGTAAATAAAAGAAACGTTCCCGCTCCCCATTCCGGCCAAAGGCGCGCGGAAGGAGGCCGTCGACCGCCGACCCCGGGAAGATCGGGGCTACGGGCGTCGGGCGACGCCTCTCAGCCTCCGGCCGGCCACAACCAAAGGAACCAAAACGGAAATTTCGGAAACGGAGGAGAGATTTTCTTCTCCCGGCCACGGACGCGCCAGCGCCGATCCGGACCTGAAGACGGGCGCGAAGCTCGGGAGGTCCGGGGCGACGTTGGGGTTCCCCCGGGAAGGCACCCCTTCGGGGGTTCCGACGGAAGGTGGCGCCCGAACAGACAGACAAACGGAAAGAAAAGGCTTACCGTGAACGCGATGCCGACGGCGATTCGCATGCTGCGTGTTGCGCGGGGCGAGCGACGGCCGAATGGATGTCCCGTCCGGGCGACGTCGGAGCGGGTTTTGTTCGGTCGTCCGACCGCCCACACTCGGCACGCGGCCTGCGCAGATCCCGCCACCCGTCGCCGTCGGTAGCCACCGGAGTGTCGCTCCCCGGCCGTCGGCCCCCGGGGGAGGGTCTCTGGCCGGTCCCTCCGCTTCCAACCCACGCCCTCCTCCTCTCGGCCGTCCCCCGTCTCACCCGGTCCGAATGCATCAAATACTCGGGGCCACCTCTTTCGGATGCCCCGAGCATTTGCCCTATTCGGTAGGTACCAAACCGCCGAGCGGGTGGGAATTACGTAATTATCAGCCGACCAAAGCAGAAAATATACTACTTTGGGGTGAAGAAACGGTGATTTTCCCGACGTCCGTCGTCTACTCCTCTCTCTCCTCCCCTCCGTTACATGGAGAAAGTCGCGGTTCCCGTCGAATTCGAACCCCGAGTCAGTTGACTTTCCGTTCTCTTCGGCTAATTATCTAAGATTACACCCGGATAATCGGGCCAAACCATTTGGCGATTCTCTCGGATTTCTACTACAAACGATATTTTTGGTTTAATTCTTAACCGGGGATTACGATTAAATGGTATTCTCGACGGAAGAGGTCGGATTTTCGCTTGTCCCTCCCGTTTTTCCCACGCGATTAACGCGAAAAAGGAAAATTTTTCCTTTTTAGGACCTTTCTTCGCTTTCGATTCGAGTTCGATTTCGTCCTTGGGAAAATATCCAGAAATTCCAATGAAATTCTCGTTGGGCGGAACGGTTAATCGGGTGCACGAGAACCGGAGGTCGAAGGTCGAGCGTAAGAGAGACGTCGCCGCGGTGATGGAAGAGCGAGAGGCCGGTCGGGAAAATCCCTTGTGGAAAGGCGCGGGAGGCGGATTTTCCGGGTGGACCGTCACGGATAATCCGTCGTTCCGCGCTCCGCAAAACCGGGCGACGGAGGATAGCGTCGGCGTCTTTATCGACCGCCGAGTCGTTCCCCGGGAGGAGTTTGTAAATATTTACAGATACAAAACGCGCCTTTATCCTCGCCACAAAAAGCGGAATATTTTATCACCTCGGACTTTCAATTTTTGCATAAAATTTATTAAAAGCGGTAAACATTATCGACCATCTTTCCCGTGCTGGGGAAGGACTAAGATAGACGGTTAAACGGGAGAGCGCGCGGACTCCGGTTAATCCATTGGGGAAGAAATATCGCCCGGTGGTTTCGCAACCGGAAGCGGAATCGAAAGAGCGATTTTGGCCCGGCGGTGCTCCGTAGCGCCATTTAATTGGTATTTCGGTATGGTAACCGAATAGATAAAACCCATCGGCGGCCATTTTTTGTAACGAAGATTTTCGGTTTCCGGCACGTGACGATCGGATTTCGTATTCCACACTTTTAAGACTTATTCCGAAGCGCGTCTTTATTTCTACGCGCTGCCGACTCTCTTCGTTCCGTCTACGCGCTTTTACTTCATACTTTTCCATGCGTCTCGTAATATACCAGAAATTATTCGATTTACGCGCGGTTCGTGCGCGCCTTCACTCCCGCCACCGCCTGGAATTGGCAGAACCAACGCGGCGAGTTCGATAGTTTCTACCATGTTTCCTCGGTAAGGAAACGTTACGCGATACGCGGACGAATTAACGCGCGTAACTCTGCGATTGTTACGTGACGGCTCGGTAAGTTCCGTTTAAAGTCGCGCCAGTTACGCGCCGAATTTGGCTCCAGTGAGGTAATTAAGAGTCGCGCTCGGTACGGTAGTGTTGTACGCGGCCCCCGTAACGAAGTGCTAGCGTGCGGTTAATGACTAGAGGGCACGATCCGGGTTCCAGCCGGTCTTAGAGAAAGACGTGGGATAATTTCCTGGTTGTACGTAACGCGTTACGTTGTTATATTGGCGGGGCAGGTGTAGATTTTGTCTTAACTGAGAATTACGCGAGAACCTTATATCTTCCCCTATCTATTCGTACGTTACGTCGATCCCTCACTAGTATCGTGTCGTTTAGACTTATAGGTTGGGGTGTCGTTCGAAAATTTGTTCTCTTACGGGTCCGTTATGTCGTTTTTAAGATGGCACTTTTGCATTTCTGGCTTTGGGGGAGATAAATAAATAACGTCGAATACTAGAAAAGTAAGTCGAGTCTGTCTTCCCTACCCGTTTCAAATTTCTTGTGAAAAACCGAAAGATTATACACGTCATAGTTAATCTAGGCATGCGTAAAGGGTAATTTACGCCGAAAGTCGAAAATATTCAAAAATAGTTAGGAATTGAATGATTGACAATGCGCTCGAACCCGGAGCCATTCCTGTTTATTAACACGTGACACCCGTTTGAACTTGGCGTCGTTACGCAGTTAAAGGTAATGAACAACAATAACGCGCGTGGAGGACATTTTTGTAATTATTTACTAACAAACGATGTTGTGTTCGATGCAAAATGATCTTCGACTGTAATTCGAATTTAATAATCTGGAAAGGACGAGCGTGGGCACGGTCGTGCCTTTTCTTTCCGGTTTATTAAGTTAATTTTAATTATTTTTATTCTTTTCCAATTTCTATACAACTCTATATGCGATTACTCCTTTTCGACGTTCCGCTTTATTAATAATGTAGGGAAATGGGTAACGTATTAAAACGTTACGCCGCTGCTAGGCAGCAAACGATGGCGGATGGGTTACGAGAATGGGGAAACGGAAGCGCGGGAACGGGAGTTGTTACGTTTCCGTTAATGATGAATTGCATCGGTTATCGGCCCGAGGACGTGGGTGTATTTTATTGGCCGAGAGTGCGAAGAAAAATGCCATGAAATTTCAATCGCCGGCTTCATTTAGGAAAAATAAAGGCCCAATAAAACGGGCTTATACGTTCAGTCATTCGTCGAATAATAAGACTAATTACTGCCGTGTATAGCCTGGCGTTTTGTTTACGCGTGGTTCAGTCGTTGCGTTACGCCATTTTCTCTTCTACCTTTAAACGTTTTCTGTGGGCCTTATTTGGGCCACGTGCCTTAATACGTTCGAACTCGGATTTAGCAATTTAGACCATTTGTTCGTTTCCGAAATTGGAACCGAAGTTCAGACGACAGTCGTTATAGAAGCTATAATTATGAGGACTAACACGAGTCTGAGTTTGACTTAAAGTCACGCGATTGGACGTAACGCGTTCGGTGATTGGCAGAACCGAGGACTTGGAATTACCTTCCATTTAAATTAAAATCAAATTCGAGCCCGTTCCATACATCGGCGAATTCTATTTTCGTCAATTCTTTCGTAATAATTGGCGTGACGTAAAAACAGATGCAACGAGACAGTGGAGCGTGCGTCACTAGATCCGTTACACAGTTATAAATTGTCGGCGCGTAATTACTAGAAAGTAAACTAAACTTTTCTTTGGTTCGAACCTAAGTTTATGCCAACTTGTCGTTAAGACGCAATTAAATGCGTCCGGATGCGTTACGTTATCAAAGAAGACGTTATTTCTAAAGCATTCTTCCATTGACCAGACGTAAGAAGAGCCAGTCTGAGCGCAACCTTACTGGTCGAGCGTATATTAGGAGTCCGGGTTCGATTCTTTCGCTCGCTATTCGTAACGAGCGATTGAGTCGAAGAGCGATAAAGAATCGCGTAGCAATCGATGCCACGTCATTTTTAATCTACTCGGCGCGATTGGCTACAGCGTTATATAGAATACATTATATAGATACGGGGAGAACGGGTCGTAGGTAGAATTGAGGAAACTATGAGATGTATAAAACACTCGCCTGTAGGGGATTTTGATAGGTTACTTCCGTCGTTACTTCGAAGGAATGTCAAATACAAGTCTTTAGTATTTGAAAGTTAATTTGCGACATTTTCGAATTTTGTCGCCTACGCCTAGATCGTATCCAAAGATCGTCGAGGTTTTGTCTTCGTTAAAAGATGATTTTTTCCCGTTTACGGTGTCAGAAGTTAAAAATAAACTCGGCAATCGATCTTTTTGCGGTTTATCCGTGTATATTACAGTAACGTAACCTCTTTTCCCGTTTTAACTGGTAGCGTTACGATACTTACCTCTTCGTTCTCTCAAATAATTAAACCTGTTTACCGAAAAGGATGGAAGATGCGACTTCGGAAATATTTCGTTTTAATTAATTGGTTGGCTCGAAAGAAGAAAAAGTGCCGAATTTTAAAAGCGCCACAAACCAATGACTTGTGTTTACTTCTTTATTAACGACGTCGCCGCATACGGATACAGGCCCGGAATAATTTGACAGTATCAATAACCTTTAATTCGTTTATATTCTGCCATCTGTCGTAATTGTTGACAACTTGGTCGAATTAGTTCAAAACCGCCGCTCGTCTCCCTCATACCGGTTTAAATCCCGTGTAAATAGCCACGCGCCGACAATATCGAACGTGAAGGGAATTAAAATACAGGATTTGTACCCCCTTCTAGGAGCGAATTCCCTTCCTTCCTACCTTTACTCTTAGTTACCCTGTGAAGTGGCTTTCCCCTGGCGTCATCCGTTACGAAAGGAGAAACTATCCCCTTCGATTCTGTCCGATCGGTGACGTAGAAAATTGAAAGAGAGGTGTCACGGTAGCTTTTATGTTGTGTTATTCTAAGTGGAAACTCGAGCGGTTGGTCCGTTAAAAACGCCAAAACGAGTAGCCACCCCGATATACCGTACGGGCTACTTTCATTAAGGATATGTACAGTCGGCCGTAGATGACGTATTTTTGCTATTTGCGGTATTATATAATAAAGTTACACCGCCGGAACCGAACCCGCGACTATTCTGTAAGAAATGGCTTCGGTCTAATCGAAATTTACCTCAGGACACGGGTAGGGATCGGTTCCTCTCGAAGACACACAATTCTAGATGAAGTGTGTGTCTGTCGGGTGGTTTCTGCGCTGTAATTACGTTCCGTTTGTTTATTAACCCTTTCGTTTTGTGTTAACTGTAGCGTTTATTACGTAACAACGGGGTGTAGAGTTCCCTTTGCGCTACCTCAACACTGTGTACGAAGAAAATTAATTTGGGGGCGAAGCCAACGTCACCCACGTCATTCGCCCGGTAAGAAGCTGCAAAATGTAGTACTTAGTTGGCGTCGATTCCCCCAATTACGAAGCCCCCGACTCTTTAGAAATTTATGATCGATAAAAAATTAATTTGGCCATTATATAAAAAAATAAATAAATAAAAGAAGTGGTTTTATTGACAAGTTGTCGTTTCAGAACTCTACAAATAAATCAAATAATAGGAGAATCTTTTATAGAAGGGAGGAAGGGGAAGAAATATTAAATATACGCTATAGAAAGGCAAATGACTAGAAATTGCCTGGAGTCAAAATTCGTTATTTTTAGCTAAATACGCCATTGAAAATACCTTCGAAAAGAGACGAAAAACACCGGCTTCGGCGCACAAAAACAGCTGAAAACATAATGAAATATTATAAAACTCGGATTTATAATTTATGTAAATTAGCTTTCCACTTAAAACATTAATTATTAATACTTTATTTTGCCGTTCATTTCGTTGGCCAGCCGAAA